TCCATGCAGTCATTCAGGGATCTAGGCTCCTGCCATCTTGACTCAGTCTCTAGGGCCTCAGAGTCCTCTCCTGACTCCTGAGCAATTGGCCATCAGGTGAGGAAAGGGAAGACACAGAAGGTACACTGCTCCAAACCACCTCAGTCCAGAGGTAACAGACCTCACTGCCATTCACATTTCACTGGCAAAAACTAGTCGTGAGGTCCCAGCTAAATGCAGGGGACTGGGAAATGTGGTCTAATCGTGTGCCAAGAGAGGAGATAACCAGACCCTGGTGATCAGTGAGCTGTCTCTGCCACAGGGGTGGGCAGATTCTGTGATCCCATTGACCACAGAGGAGTGCAGAAGTTGGGACTCCTAGGTCACTCTCCTGTCTGCAGCCTGGGCCCACACTCCCTGAGCTCTGTTCCTCCTCCTTCCACCCAGGAAGAGAATCAGTCCCTGCCAACCCCCCTCAGAGGGTGGGTGGTTGGTGAGATAATGATCTTACCATGCTTATTGCCTCTTGGAAGGCAGGTGCTGGAGAAAAACCAAGTCCGCTTTGATTTTTCTCCCTGTTCCTTTCGCATTCCTTCCCAGGATAAATTTAGCCAGCCCTCACTTTGAACGGCAGTGCCCAGGATACGACTTTTTGTTCTGCGAGTCGACGTCAGTGTCAGAGCTGTTTTCATGCTTGCAGGCTTCGGCCAGCAGTGAATATGTCAGGACCACAGGCCCAGCCTCTGCCCTGCCCCAGACATCCGCGACCCCCCCTATCATGCCTGCCCACTACCCATGGGCATCAGGAGCCATGTTTCTGAGACAAGGGCCCTAAATTCTCCAATGACATGAGAAAGAACACAGGCTTTAGAAGGGCTTTGAGATCTGGCACAAGGGCTGTGTTATCCTTAACAGCCTCCGAGAGCTCAGAGACAGGACGGCTTAAGGGGCATGGGCGTGAATTCGGAGGCATCAGTATGGATTAGAATCCCTGCTCTGGCAAGTTAGCTTCTCACCTGTGTCCTCATCTGTACAATGGGTCAGCAGCAGTGTAGCCTTCCTAAGATTAATGGAGATGCTTATATTAAGGAACTGCCTATATTGTTGGTGCTCTATAAAGATTGGCCATGGAGACAGCGATGGCTAGTTATACTTACCTTCAGGAGAATCTGAAAGCCACAGTAAGGACTTCCAGGACCCTTGTGCCCATTCCGGATACCTCTTTTGCAGACTTCCTTAAAATATCCTGAGAGTCCTGCTTGGAGTTCTTAGGCCCTGTCATCTTTATAGAAATGACATCCTCTCTTGTGTCCATCCTATTCCCCTCCATTTGCTGCACCTTGAATTCATTCTTTTTCACATTGGTTGTGAAACCATCTTCCTCCACCACCTGGATTTTAACTTAGCATCATTTTAAAGATGGTTTCGCCCCTCCCCTCTCTCCCTGACCTCCAAGCCCTCTTCCGGCTAAGTGCTTGCACTTTCAGCTGCCTTCCCAGGGTCATTCTCATTCTTACTGTGGGTCTTACTCCCTCTTGGGATCCTCACCTTCCCTGCCTCTCCCTCAGCTGCACAGCCCACAAGGAAACACCTTCCCGGGTCAGGGTCCCCTGGAAACCTTTTATTCACTGAGTAATTCTCAGCCTTACTCAAGCAACAGGTACATCACTCAGGCACACCAGCTCTGCTCGTGCCCACACACAGGCAGAAACAGAAAATGTGTCACCCATTCTCCTGTGCTCTCTTCTGACCCAGATAAAGCTCTCTAGGACTGAGCTTCCTCCTCCGTCAAGTGGGAGTGGTCAGGTAGGGGTCCTGAGGGGAAACGGTGGGTGGTCTCACAAAGGGTGATTGAATAAAGACAGGATGCACAAAGGTGCATTTGAGGTAAAGGGAAGGGGACTAACCAGGCCAGTGAAGGGCATCAGGTGCTAGCTGTGAGGGCAAGCTGCTACCACCTAGGCTGCTGGGAGTGAGGGGAGGAGCAATCCCCAGAACCTGAAGAAAGGCTGAGTCTGCCCAGCCACCTCAACGCCCTGGCCTTTCTTTCCCCACCCTCTGATCTCCTGTCTGTGCCTTCCATTGGCAGAACCCACCTGGAAACAGAGGCCAAAGCAGTCTTTGCAGGCCAGGCTCTCAGGGCCCAGAGCTGGGTGCAGAAGGAACAGAGAATGGGTGTGGAGGAGCAGACAGAATCTCTGACACGAGAATCTCAGTGGTGTCCGTGTTTACGCTGTCTCATCAGCAGACCTTCTAGTGGACCTTGAGCTCCCCTGTGCTTATGGGCACGGAAACAGACACAGCTGAAGGCAAGGAGCATCAGAGGCCGCACTAACCGGTGGCAGAGCCAGGATTTAGACCCGCTTCTGCCTAATTCCAGAGTGTCCCACTGACAGATGGCAGCCAGAGCAGATAGTGGCAGACGTGTTGTGATTTAAGGTGACCCTTCCCCATCACAGGCCATCTTCCTCTCGTGCCTGTAATCTCTCCATAATGATTCACAGGACTGAGCATTTCCTTTTCTCTGCTGTACAGGTTCAAATGCAAATATCCCCACCTGGAGCACCATGTCAATTATTAAATACTTTCAGGAAATACGTTTCTCAGAGCCCTTGATGGTAGAGGCCTGGGAGTCTGTGGGGACTGGAAACTGCTGAGAGGGCACAGTGTCGACCCCAAATGGTAAAGGAGCTTTCTGGACCCTTTCAGCTCCATTGATTTTACTTAATCCCCACAGCTTTCCAAGGATACTGGCGTCAGGAACAGCGTTTTACAACTAACTGTGGGATAGTAGCCCAAAGAGATGACACTTTGCTCATGTAAGCGTTTGGCCCACTGATGGGCAGAGCCACACAGCAGAAAGTGCACTGGCTTTAGAAACCAAAAGATTGATGCGATTTGAATCCCAAATCCAGCACTTCACTAACTACGAAACCCCAGATCAAGCTCCTCCCCTCCACAGGCATCTGCAAAATGGGGGTCTGAGCACTCACCTCTCTGTGTTGAACAGTAACCTCTGTGTGTGGTGAGAATGAAATAGGATCATGCTCCTAAGTCCCCAGCAGCCAAGGCAGAGAAGGTGTAGAGGTCAAAGTCTCTGACTTGGGAAAATCTAGTGCTGGGCTTACCAGCTGGGTAACCCCAGACAAGTCACCTCAACCCCTCGGAGCCTCATTTGAAAAACGGAGCTATCACATGCCTGTCTATAATTGTGCGTTTTTCATTGCTTCTAATGAAATACCTGAATCTGGGTAGTTACAAAGCAAAGGAATTTATTTCTTCCTCTATAGAGGCTGACAAGCCCAAGGTTGTGGGGCCAGCTGCATCTGCTGAGAGTCTTTCTACCGGTGGGGACTGCAGTCTCAGGCTCAGGCGTCATGTGGAGAGGGAGCTCAGTGTGCTAATGTGCTAGCTCAGGTCTCGCTTCCTCTTCTTACAAAGCCACCAGTTCCCCTCCCATGATAGCCCGTTAATCCATTAATCCATGAATGGATTAATCCATCCACGAGGGCAGAGCCCACGGGGTCCAATCACCTCTTAAAGGCCCTACCTGTCAATACTGCCACTCTGGGGATTAGGTTTCAGCCTGAGTTTTGGATGAGGACATTCAAACCATAGCACTATCCCATAGGTTTTTTGCAAGGGTGAAATGAGCTGAGGAGTCTGAAAGCGCCTTTTAAAACTGCTCTATAAATGTAAACTATTTCTTCAGCAATACCAACAGCCAACATCGGCGAGTGTTTCCTGAGTGCTTACTGGGTTCCAGGTACTGTCTACACCCCTGACATGTGTGGTTTCACTCAATTCTCGTGGCAGCATTATGAAGCAGGACGTGTGTGTGTGTGTGTGTGTGTGTGTGTATGTGTATGTGTATGTGTGTGTGTGTGTGTGTGTTTTGAGACAGAGTTTCACTCTCGTTGCCCAGGCTGGAGTGCAATGGCGTGATCTCCGCTCACAGTAACCTCTGCCTCAGGTTCAAACGATTTCCTGCCTCAGCCTCCCCAGTGGCTGGGCTTACCAGTGGTATGTGCCACCACACCTGGCTAATTTCGTATTTTTAGTTGAGATGAGGTTTCTCCATGTTGGTCAGGCTGGTCTCGAACTTCCCACCTCACGTGATCCTCCTGTTTTGGCCTCTCAAAGTGCTGGGATTACAGGTGTGAGCCACCTGGCCAGGACTTTTGTATATTATTCCCACCTGCAAATGAGGAAATTGAGTCTCAGAGATGTTAAGTGACTGGCCCAAGGTTGCACAGTCAGTAAGCGGCAGAGCCATGCTTTGAGCCCAGATAAGCAGAGAAGCCTGTGGAGCAGTGAGCTCCTGCAGTGAGCCGGGAAAGGGAAGACTCAGACAAATGGAACTGAAGAATCGTGGAGTCTAGCAGTGGCTCAAACTGTCAAACACATCAGAATCAGTGACGGAAATTATTTAAAAGGCAAGTTCTGGCCAGGCGAGGTGGCTTACACCTGTAATCCCAGCACTTTGGGAGGCCGAGGTGGGCAGATTACTTGAGGTCAGGAATTCGAGACCAGCCTCGCCAACGCGTTGAAATCTCATCTCTACTAAAGATACAAAAATCAGCCAGGGTTGCTGGCGGGCGCCTGTCATCCAGCTACTCAGGAGGCTGAGGCACAAGAATCACCTGAACCCAGGAGGCGGAAGTTGCAGTGAGCCAAGATCACACCACGGCACTCCAGCCTGGGTGACAGGTTAAGACTCTGTCTCAAAAATATAAAAATAAAAATAAATAAAAGACTGGTTCTTGGGCTGCACCCACAGAGATGCTGATTCTGTGGGTCCAGGGTAGAGCTCAGGAATCTGCTTTTATAACAAGCCCCCAAGATGAGGCTTGTGTGAGGGGTCAGCTAAAACACACAGGGAGGAGCATGGTAGGTGTCCTCCGCAAACCGTCGGTAAGGGCTGCTCAGTGAGCGAGGACTCAGGGCTCTGGAGGACCCAGGAGGTTCAGGCAGGAGACACAGGAGCTCACAGCGGGACCACCTCTGCCTCTGACCTCCAGGTTTGCCAAGTACTACAAAATGGAGAACGGCAGTGAGTACCGCACCCTCCTGAAGGCTTTCGGCATCCGCTTCGACGTGCTGGTGTACGGGAATGTGAGTCCCGGGCCGGGCGGATGGGGTGGACAGGGGAGACAGCCCAGACCACCTCCTGGATTCTGAAGAGGCTCCTCTGGGGGGCAGGGGTCTGCTGCTGGCCAGCTTGGACACCCTCAGTGGATCGCTCTCCCATCTCTTCACCTGTGCGGTGAAGGGGAGGGACCTGCTGATCCACCAAGCACCCTTCTGGCCCCAAGTGCAGCCTCAGGCCTCACCCCCATCCCACGGGCCCTCTGCCCACTAGCCTTGGTCTTTGTGCACACAGGCCGGCAAGTTCAACATCATACCCACGATCATCAGCTCCGTGGCAGCCTTTACTTCTGTGGGAGTGGTGAGTTCAGCCCCTCCAGGCTCTGACGGGCCAGTCAGAGTGGGGCCCAGATTGGCACCAGCAGGCAGAGAAGTGACAGGGACAGCTCTGCCTCTTCCTGGAATATAAAGCACCCCCCACCTCCGCCTTTTGCCAGGTGCTTCTGTCTCCTTGGCCACCACCCTGCTGCGTCGGCCCTGGCTGGAACATCTCCAGTCATGGAGCACTCATTACCTCCGGAAGCAGCCTTCCCATTTTCAGGAGGTTCCACCTGTTACAGAGTTTCTGTTTCTCACAGTGTAGCTGCGGGAGGAGGCCCTGGGTTTCCGCAGACCTGAGATGCCTGAATGAGGAACAGAGCCCACGTGGCAGGGCGGGCACACAGCCTGCCTTCAGGGACTTCCCCCTTCTATCCCACGCAGTCCTCTCTCTGTGCAGCTGTGGTCTGGGTTACCCCTAGGAGCTGGAAAGGCAGCCCTGAAACATCCTGCAGAATCCCTGGGCATTTTTCTAAGAGGGAATATCAGTCAGATGGAGGACTGGTCCCCACCCTGACCTGCAGTCTGCTAAGGTGCTAGCTTGGATCTCTCTTCCTCTTTTTATAAAGCCACCAGTTCCCCTCCTATGATACCCCATTAATCCATGAATCCATGAATCCATGAACAGATTAATCCATCCATGAGGGCAGAGCTCACAGGGTCCAATTGCCTCTTAAAGGCCCCATCTGTCAATACTGCCACATTGGGATTAAGTTTCAACATGAGTTTGGATGAGGACATTCAAACCCTAGCACAATCTTATAGGTTTGTTGCAAGGGTGAAATGCTCTACTCACTGTTTAGGCAGCTGGGAGGGGAGTGGGGGAGGGCTTCCCGAGCCCACCACTTCCTTCCACCCTGCTCCCACCCACCCCACCTGCCTCTCCTCCTCCAGGGGACTGTTCTCTGTGACATCATCCTGCTCAACTTCCTCAAGGGGGCCGACCAGTACAAGGCCAAGAAATTCGAGGAGGTGAGTCGGGGGCGGGGGGCCCTTGGATGAAAGGGAGAGCGGGCAGGACAGGCAGGGGCAGGTACCCTCACTGGCTTCCCTTCTGGGGCCTCCTGAAGTGGAGTTCACCGGGCCTGAAAGAATATTTGGGGTGCAGACAAGGGAAGGCTTGGCCAAGAGTGGATTCTGCCGAGAATCTTGGAGGTTCTGTGGGTCATCTCTGTCAAGGTCCCGACCCCATCACCTCCCCTCTCCATTTTCTGGGGCAGAACTATGGGATGCATGGGATGAATTGGGTTTTCATTTGCCCTCAGGGTACATGGGAGGAGCTTTGGGATCACACAGGCATCCTAGCTCCCCTATGACCAGATCATGGGCGCCCACTGCTGAGTCTATCAAATGGGGTCACATAAGAGGACGTTGCCCATAGTCAGAACTGGACAGCGCCAGCTCTTCTGCCTGCAGGTGAATGAGACAACATTGAAAATCGCCACTTTGACCAACCCAGTGTACCCCAGCGACCAGACCACAGCCGAGAAACAGTCCACCGATTCGGGGGCCTTCTCTATAGGCCACTAGGGCCTCTTTCCAGGGCCCCACCCTCACCCCTGGGCTCCAGGCCTTCCAGCAGGGGACCCCGCCTGAGCACGGGGGCATGGAAGGGAAGAGGGGCTCTCATTTCTGCTGCTCAATCCATGAGCACAGCTGGGACCAGGTGTCCAGCCCTCCCACTGCTCCGGCAGACAGGCAGTGCCCCTGCTGAGACTCCACTGTCACCCTCACTCCTTGCTTGGCCCCGTCTGCTTCCTAGAACCCCTGGGGCAGTAGCACCTGAGCAGTCCCTTTCCCGAAGAGTAGAGATGATAATGTAGGACAGATGGCCACAAGGGCCTACCAAGTGCCAGGCACTTTCACACACATTATCTCATTTAATCCTTAGAATAATCCTATGAGGTAGATACTAGTTTCCCTTGTTTTGAAGATAAACCGAGGCTCAGAGAGACTGAGTCATTTGCCCCAGGCTAGATAGCCAGGAAGTGAGAGAGCTTGGATTTGAACCTCCAGCTGACTAACTCCACTGCCCACAGCCCATGAGAGAAGAAAGAACTCCTGGGGGCCATCAGCCCTGCTGCTTCAGCCGCCTCCACCCTGACCAGTGATTCGGTTCATAAAGAGTAAGCCCCATGCCTTTCCCAGCAACTAAGGCTGCATTTTAGGGAGACTGGTTAGAGAACGTTGTGTGGCCGGATGGGTGGGTCCCAGATTTGGAAGGAAGCAGAAGGCATGGCTGTGGGTGAATTTTTCCTTATCACACCCCACAGCTCTCCCCTAACCAGGAAAGGGGCCATTCTTGTTCTTCTGTGGGACCCCACACCCACACACAACTGGGCCCCTCACTCTGGGGATTTGATTCCTGGACCTGGGAATTCGGCAGCCCTCACCTGCAACATGGGCAAAAAGGCTCCGGTGAGGTCTGGTGCCTTGTGAGCTGGTCAGCTGGGTCAGCCAGGCCTGTCCCCACAGGGTCTTAATAAGGTATCCCGTCTTTTAAGGTTAGAAGCTAAAGGGGCCTTAGAAACTATCTTATCTAACTGTCTTACTTACAGATGAGCAAACTGAGGCCAGAAAGGAAAATGACTAGTTCAGTGCCACAGTCCGTGGTGAAAAGAGAACACACATGTCCTGCCCTTCAGGGAAGGAGGCCGGAGCAGGAAGCTGGGTGCATTGACCCGGGCATCCTCTATCCCTGTTCTGGCCTCTCTTACAGTGACAGGCCCAGAAGTTGCACCAGGACAGGGCTCAGGAGCAGGCCCAGGTTTTGTGAAGCCTAAGCATATACAATTTGGGGGCGTCTCTTTAGAAGGAATACAAAATGAGGTCGTAGAAGGGGTTCATGCAAGTGAATGAGCCAGAAGAATGTTTCAGTAGCTTCATGGTAAATCTGCGTCTGGTAGAGTTGGGGTGGACATGATCATGAGATCTCAGCGCCGGCTCAACTGTAGGTGGAGGGCGGCCCTCAACACAAGGTGCAGGAAGTCGGGGAGGGGACAGCTTCAGGAGCAGTTCAGGAGGCTCAAACGATGGCTACTTGCAAAGGCCTTGCCCCAATGACCCCCCGCCCCAGGGGGAGAAGGGGTAAGACCCTCCCCACATAAGGCTCATCTCCCCTTCCCTCACTCTGCCCTAACCCACAGCCCCATGCCCTGGATGGTGCGCGAGGGGTCAGCTAACCACACAGGGAGGAGCGTGGCTGGTGTCTCAGCAAACCGCTGGGGCAGGACCTCCCCTGGGTCAGCCTTGGGAGTTGGGCAATGCCTGGAAATCTGATCAGACTCTGTTTCCCCAGCAGAGACATCAGTGAAGGCAGCACCACATTCTCCACCTGGGACTCCCCCAGGCACATCTGGGGAATCCAGCTCTCGGGAGGCTGGGGTCACAGGGATGCTTTCTAATGGGGAGATGAAGGAGGCAGCAGTGTCCTGAAGGGACCCTCCCCCGAACCCCCCTTTCACCCAGATGGAGGTGGTCCTCCTGCAGGTGCCTCAGGCCCCTCTAAAGCCGGCCAGCGAGAGCGTGTGAGCCTGAGGTTTTCCTCCCCGTATCTGAACTAAGTTACCGTTTCTGTGTACTAGATGTAGGGTTAATATCAGTAGTGATAGAAACAGCTACCTTGTCTTTTGTATTGTGGTTTACTAAGTACAATCACTAATATAATCACATGGACCCTCACACCCACCCTGGTGAGTCTGCTGTGGTTTGTTATTAATCCTATTTGATAGAAAAAGAAATATACAGTAGATGGAAAGGAGGTCTGGAAGCCATGCTCATTCCTGACACTACATTTCCACTGACAGTTCCACACGTCTTTCCCTTCTGTGTTCCTTCTCACAAAACCTTGTTCACAGCAAGCTGCCAATCAGCCTTCCAAGTGTATTAATAGATAACATTCTGGGGAATTTCTTCTCTCAAGAGTACTTCCCTTTTAATCAAGGGTTATTCAACACTGGAAGGCCTTAATCAACCAAAGAAATGAATATGTAAGGGTCAACGTTGAGGCCTAACGTAGATAGTGCTGGAGACTTGAGGAGCATCTTTTCTACCCCAGTCAGTCTCAAGTAAGCTTCAGTCTGGAGGGGTCTTAGCCCCTCTTCTCTCCCCTCCCAAACTCTGCCCTGGTTTTGACTAGCAGGATGTTGGGCTATTGGATTTGGCTGAAGTCCATTCTCCATCAGGGAGGTAAGTAGAAGCTGATACAAGGGGCTTGGCATCCAGTTGAAATACCAGTCCCAGGACCACTTGCACAGAATGTCCTTGATCACCTGTCCTTCCCACCCCTCCAGACAACACTGTTCCTCTAGAAGCATAGCATCAAGAATGGATTTATCCTAAAGCATGACTCTCCAATGGGAAAAAAAAGAATGGGCTTATTCATATAAGGATATATATATATATATATATATATATATATATATACTCTATATATATATATATATACTCTCTCTCTCTCTCTCTCTCTCTCTATATATATATATATATATACTCAGTGTCACTGATCATTAGAGAAATGCAAATCAAAACTATAATGAGATACCATCTCACCAGTCAGAATGGCTGTTACTAAAAAGTCAAAAAATAACAGATGCTGGTGAGGTTGTCGAGAAAGGGTACACAAGCTCCATTGGTGGGAGTGTAAATTAGTTCAACCATTGTGGAAAGCAGTATGGTGATTCCTCAGAGAGCTAAAAACAGAACGACCATTGGACCCAGCACTCCCATTACTGGGTATATCCCCAGAGGAACATAAACCATTCCACCATGAAGACACAGGCACAAATGTTTATTGCAGCATTATTCACCATAGCAAAGACATGGAATCAGCCTAAATGCCCATCAGTGACAAATTGGCCAAAGAAAGTGTGGTACATATACACAATGGAATACTATGCAGCCATAAAAAAAAAAAAAACAAGATCATGTCTTTTGTGGGAACATGGGTGGAGCTAGACACCATTATCCTTAGCACACTAAAGCAGGAACAGAAAACCGAATACCTCATGTTTTCACCTATAAGTGGGAGCTAAATGATAAGAACTCATGAACACAAAGAAAGAAACAACAGACAAGGGTCTCCTTGAGTGTGGAGGGGGAGGAGGGAGAGAAGCAGAAAAATATTGGGTAGTAGGCTTAGTACCTGGGTGAGGAAATAATCTGAACGAGAAACCCCCATGACATGAGTTCACCTATGTAACAAACTTGCACATGTACCCATGAACCTAAAAGTTATTTTTTTAAAAAGGGGGCTTATTGTAGTGTGTAGTGTGTAGATCTGCGTGGGGCCCCAATCCCAGTTAGCTCTCCTTCCATGTCCTTGGGGAGAAGGACCATCTGACTTGCTGTGTTTAGGAGCTGTCTGACCCAATTTCCATCCAAGGCAGTTGGACAGACCCCTCTACTGAGGACAGGTTTTTTCCTGTAGATACAGTCCCTGGGACCCAGCATTGGTAAAGTCCCTGGCAATGCCAGGGCCAATTCTCCTGTTGCCATAGGGCTGTCCATGTTTAAGGGCCTCATCTCTACTGTTTCTCCATCACCCACTTTCCCCAGGGCTTTCTGATCCTGTCCCCTCAATTTTAGCACCCTTAGAAACACAGAACATCAGGGAAAACTTCTTTTCGCTCCTGAAACCACATTCCATCAGATGCTGGTACAGATATACACATACACACAAACATAGTCCTGTATGCAGGTACACTCAGACACACACTGAGATGTAGACCCACCCACATACATACTGGGCAAAGCCACAGAGGAAGACATATATGCATACACAGAGATTCAGGAACATAAGGCTGCTATGCAGACATATGCATTCACAGGTGTACACAGACCCAGACAGGCATAAATACACAGAGATACATAAACATGTACATTCAACACACAAATTCATACTGAGTCACAAATTTATGCACATTTACATATATAAATTCATACATACGCAGGTACACACATGTACACAAACATTGACTTGTCCATATGCACATATGTACGTGTGCACACAGAAATACTTGTGTATTCTCCCTGGGCTCCATGTAAAAATACACTCCCAAGAAGTCTCTCTCTCCCCCCCGCACAAACCAGGGCTCTCTACCCCTTGATAAGCTTCCTGCTTCATCAACTCTGCACACTTCGTGCCGCCCAGTACCTTGTCTGTGACAAAGTTAAGAGCAACAACGATAATCTCTCTCAATGTCCCAGGGTCTGAGAAAGTGAGAGCCGGAGAGACACAGAGGCCTGGGGCTGCAGAACCGGGAATGGGAACTACCAGACACCCTGGCTTTTGTGCCCAGGGCCCCGCTGGGAGAAGCTGCTCCTTCCTAAAGATGTGGCCCCTCTACAGAGGTAGGCCAGCAGGAAGGAAGGGGAGGACCACCACCCTCTTGGGAATGGATGGGGAACGTGCCTGAGAAGAGGCTGGGGACTCACAGACGTGGCTTGGAATGGAAATGTGGGCCATGATCAGAAGCCAGAAAGGCACAGGGCAGAGGAACAGGCTGCCCCAAGACAAGACTGCTTTCTCCCCCATCTCCTCGGGGTGTCCCCTCGGTGGGGCCTCCATATTCCATACCAACTCTTGAATCAGCCCCATCACCTTTATTTTTGGAAAACCGCCCACCCCGCACCCCATACTGAATCCAAACAAAGCAAGAGGACCAGCAAAGCACCCCACAGCAACTGAGCTTCCACCCCCTTGCCCACAATTCTTACCCCTACTCCGAACTCCTCACCTCCACCACTCCCACCCCTACTCATATCCCCCTCATCACCTCCACCACTCCTACTCCCACCACCCGCACCCCCACCCCCACCCCACCCCCACCCCTACCCCACGTCCGGGGAGGCCTTCAAGACCGCGCCCCTGGTCCTCGATTCGCTGTCCAGCGCCGCCACCAGCCCCCACCAGCCGCCCTACTCGCCCATTGCTCACTTTCCCGAAAAGAGTGAATGCTCCAGGATTTTCCCAAACTGGGGTAGTCCCCCAAAGTGAGGAATAAAGAAGCGAGAGTCAGGAAGTGCTGTGGGAAGTCTGAATTTATGAGCAGGAGAGGCTGGGCGACTGCAGGAGGCTGCAGGCAGGGTCTCCACGCCATTGGCTTAGAAGGAGCAGACGAAGGGCAGTTGCTTCTTGCATAGAGCTCGTCGCCAATAACCTCCTAGTAGCAGAGCGCACGATGAAGTCCACTGCCCCGCGGGGTCTGGCCTGGGCTTCACCTCCCTTCCCTCCTCAGGGGACCCACATGTCCCCCTCGATGGCTGTTGTCATCTGCCAGCCGTGTGCTTGTCCGACATCCCTGCTGGCTCACATTTGCTGAGCTCTCACCGCGAGCTAGGCTGTGTGCTCAGTGCCTTAGATGGACTTAGGTGGACGATTGCATTTAGTCCTTACCATGGCTCCAAGAGGTGGGTGCTGCCATCATCCCCATTTCACAGATGAGGAAGCAGGGGCTTAGTGGAGATAAACAACGTGCCTGTATCTCGGTTGGCACATGGCAGCACTGGGATGTGAACTGCAGGGTCTTGCTCCAGCATATGTGGGCTTAGCCACTGTACTAAACCCCCTCACACCTGGCACCCATGCTGCTGCCTACATCTGCTCTTGGAGGAGGGCATCTTTTCTCTCCACCATCCCTAATTCCTCCATCCTTTCTTTTCTCTCATCCACACCTTATATCCACTTCTGCTACTCTCATTGGTCACGTCTGTGGCTCGAATTTATTGCCCTCATAGCAAAGGAGGCAAAGGATTTCCCCACACACATACCATCCAGCCTACCCCGCCCCCTCCCCGGAACTTCTGTCACTTGGTTTTGCTTTGAAGCTTTCCCTCTGTCTCGGCCCTCCTCACAGACAAGACTTGGGTTCTCCAGTCAGTGGGAGGGTGTCAGTTTGGGGAGGTGTGTTCAGACAGCTCAAAGTGGTAGTATTAAAAATCCACTTTACCGCCCCTTCTCCCTGCCCTGGTGTCCTTCCCCCTCACCTTTGGTACAGAGGGCCACACAGCAGCCAATCCCGAGCTTAGGTTGCCCTGGGGACCAGTATGCAAAATTCCAGTGGCTCCCATCAGTCCAGCAAAACCGCTTCCACAGGAACTAGAGAAGTGACAGGCTAGGTCAGCAGACAGAGGTTCAGATCAGGACCTCACAGAACACCCCCTCTTGACTTCTCTCACTGCCTACCAGACCAGGAGCCAGACACCCTAGAGACCCATTTCTTAGAGTTTGCAGGCAATGGCAGGGGAGGAGCAACCATCTCTCTCAGCCATCACACAGAGCCAGCTTCCCAAACTTTACTGGGTATACATTATTTCCTGGGGATCTTGCTAAAATGCAGGTTCTGATTCTAGAGGTCTGCTGAGGGGTCCAAGATTCTGCATTCCTAACAAGCTCCCAGGTGACCGTGACACTGCTGATCCACAGACCACGTTTTGAGTACCACATATAATGCAACTTATTCACCCACAATTCCAGAGCCACCCTGAGAGACGAAGGTCCCCATTTTAGAGATGAAGAAACCAAGACTCCAAGAAACCTATTTAGCTAGCTTTCTAAGTGACTAGCTGGGCCCCAAAGCTGGGCCTGAAATCTGTCTTGTGACTCCAGTAGTATGCTGGTAAGTGTTTATAAGCCAGTTCTTGGGGTGGGTGGGAGGATGGGGAGTAGAAGGGAGCCCTGATGTGTAGCAATGGCCAATTTCCTTTGTGTAAATACTCCCACCATGGCTGACTTCAAGCTGCGAGCATGTAGCCACTGAGCATGGAGTTGGGAAAAGATGTCCACCATTAGTTCTCCTGAGCCAGTACAAGCCACCTCTAGCACATCATTTGCCTGTCACATTAAGGGCACCTGAGCTGCTGGCCTGAGGCTTGGCAACAGCAGGTGCTACCTTAACACAATCAGAAAGAACGTACTACACCCAAGAGTTGGCCCCTTACTTACCCAGCCCCTGAGAATGCCTCCAATCCAGACCTGGCCCTGGTTGGCTGAGCTAGTATAGCGCTGAATGCGATAGTTGAAGTTGAAGTTGTGGATGGAGACAAGGTGGCCTCCGTAGCATCTCTTGCAGACGTTCTGCAGACAGAAACAGAGTAGAGAATTCCCTCTCATTTATTTCAAGTTTCTGAGTCGCCAGGTAAGAGCCCAGCATCCCTTTTCAAGTTAATTGTTCCCTTAATCCTATCTTTTGCTCCTTAATTAGCTGTCAGGCCAATCCTGCAGGAAATTATAATAATACTCATAACAATGATAACCACCATTTACTAAGTGTTTATTATGACCCAGTGACTTTTCCAAACACTTTCCATGTATTAGCTCATTTAATTCTCACTGCAACTCTAAGAAGTTGGTGCTATATATCTTCACTTTACAAATGAAGGTACTTAAAGCTCAGAGGCAAAGCGACTGACTTGCCCAGGTAACACAGCCAATAAGAGGCAGAGCCAGAATTTAACACAGGTGTATCTAACACCAAAGCCTTTTTTAAAATCAGTAGTTCTCCCGAGACCAACAATATCATCATCACCTGGGAATTTGTTGCAAATGCAAATTCTCAGGCTTCACCCCAGCCCTCCTAAATGAGTTGTGTGGCTGAGGCCCAGAAATGTGTGTTTTAACAATACCTCCAGGTGATTCTGATGCATGTGAGGCTTTGAGAACCATTAGCCTAAAGGAATTGGGAACAGAAGATTGAATGTACTCTCTTCCCCCCCAGGTCCTCCGTAGTACCTACCCTCTCTACTACTTACCTCAGCTCTTGAAAACGTTGTAGGAGTCCGCACCAACAGGAAGCGGCAGGTCTTGCACCTTGGACTTCCCTGCACTTCAACTGTGTCTTCTTCCCTGGGGCACTGAAAGTCCTTGTCTAAGGCAGCTGAGTCCGACTCCATGGCTTCCTCCTCCTCAAAGGTATCTTGGCAGGTAGAAACCTTGACCTCCTCTCCCTCTGCCTGAATCACCTCCTTGGTCAAAACCAACTCTGTCTCCTGTTCCCCCGAACTATCCAGATCCTGGCCTAGGTATGCCTCTGTCTCTAGGCTCTCCAGATGGGGGACATCATTCTCTGGGAAGAAGAGGTAACCTGCCATCAGGTCAAGAGCTTCCTTATTCCAGCACCGTGGACAGTTCCAGCACCCAAGCTTTCCTAGGAACCCCACCTGAAGCCAAGACTGGAGGATTTCCCTGGTGTTAGGTAAGGAGAGATCTCTCCCGTCACACCCACAAATGGACAAGAACCTGACTTCTGGCTGACACCATAAGTGTGTGTTTTGAAGGTAGCAGAAAGCACATGTGAGAACCCTGGAGCAGTCACCAGCCAACAGGTGGGTGGTTTTTCCTTCTGAAAGTTCAGGTTGGAGTTGGCTGGGCATGGCAGCTCACGCTTGTAATCTCAGCATTCTGGGAGGCCGGGGCAGGGGAATCACGAGGCCAGGAGTTCGAGACCAACCTAGCCAATATGGTGAAAGCCCATCTATACTAAAAATACAGAAATTAGCTAGGCATGGTGGTGTGTGCCTGTGGTCCCAGCTACTTGGGAGGCTGAGGCAGAAGAATCACTTTAACCCAACAGGCAAGGTTGCAGTGAGCTGAGATCATACCACTGCACTTCAGCCTGGGCAACAGAGCGAGACTTCATCTCAAAAAGAAAGAGAGAGAGAGAGAGAGACAGAGAGAGAGAGAGAGAGAGAGAGAGAGAGAGAAAGAAAGAAAGAAAAAGTTCAGGTTATAGTTCTGAGTCCAGGTAATATCTTAATATCTTGTCAGAGATGAGCTGTATCAGCTAAAGAGGGAAGGCTGTGGTCCTGGCCCCATGCATGCAAATAAAAGCAGGGGGAGGGGAGTGTAGGAAAAAGGAAAAAAGAGAAAGATGGATGAGAAGGGCAGGAAGAGACTTACCCAGATGAAGAGCAGAAACTGTTCCCAGCAGGAGAACGGGCAGGAGCAGGAGGCATTTCATATCTACTGTCTTTTAGCGAGGACACTACTCCGCCTTCCTTCTTGGGGCTGTCTTTGTGTGTCTAGTATATCCCCTGGCACATAGTACAGAGAAAATGTTTAATTGTTTGATTAAAGAGCAAACTAGATTGCTTTCTCCTCTTGCTATGAAGAGACCCTGAGCTGGAGAATCTAGAACAGGAATAGCAGGAGGGGTAACTCGGGTACAAAAGCTCCTTTGTCTTCCAGTCTCCATTGCTGCTCTCCGGTATCACCCTCAGCCCAGACTCCTGCCCCTGCAGGGGCAGGTCTGCTTAGCCATGATGTTCCTAAGGACAGGCCTCCTAGGTGTTTGCCTTATGGGGTGCTGCTTCTTCCCAGGGCCTAAATTGGTCCTGCCTGGGCAGTCAGAAGAGAACTCACCTTTCAAGAGTCTGAGACCTCCACTCTCAGTGCCTCTGGCTTCGATGCTAAGAAGCAGCCGTTATACTGGGCTTTTGGGGAAGTGGGAAGAGGCCAGAATGATTGCTCCAGGCCAGGGTGGGGGACAAAGGATCTGATAACAAAGTTTGTTCAGTCTTTTCAACCCTGTGCCCTACTCCCAATGAGGACTGCAGGGACCTACCTCCTGAGGCCTACTGCCATGTATGGGTGCCCCACACCCTGGATGTTATGTCCATTGTCCAGGCATAATTATTATTTATGCCCCCTAAAGTGCCCCAGTCTGAACAATATGCCTTAACCCAAGGAGTAGCCTCCTGGTGGAATCTCAGGAAGTGACGTGCAGATCCCAGGGAGCTGGGGGGAGACAATGAGGGCAGGCAGTAAGAGATGAAGGGGAAGCTCAGCGCTCCCAGGCTCTTACCCATTCTAGGGGCGTTGTAGGCAACATCCCTCACCCTCATCTTCACATCATCTCCTTCAAGCATGTATGACCACCCCTGCTTCACAGAGGCAAAATGTGAGATCCAGAGACAGAGAATACCCAGCTTGCCAAGATTTCACAGGAAGTAGAAGAACTGGAGATTTCTAAGTCTTTTTGACTCCAAAACTTTCTCTCTCTTTCTTTCCCCTCTCTCTTTCTTTCTCTCCCTTCCTCTTTCTCACTCTTCTCTCTTTCCCTCTCTTTCTCATCTTTTTTTTTTTTTTTTTTTTTTTTTAAGAGACAAAATATTGATCTGTCACCCAGGCTGGAGTTCAGTGGTGCAATGATAGTTCACTGTAACCTTGAACTCCTGGGTCCAAGTGATCCTCCTGCCTCAGCCTCCTGAGTTGCTGAGATTACAGGTGTGAGCTCTCTCATCCTTAACATGTGAAAAATCTATGTCCTTATTCTGTGCTGTGGATCTAGATCAAGGTTCCTCAACCTTTGTGCTGTTAACATTTGAGATCAAATAACTCTTTGCTGTCGGGGGCGGTCCTGGGTGTTGTAGAAAGTTTAGTGGCCCCTCTGGTCTCTACTCACTGATGTCAGTAGAACTTCTCCCCACACGTCAGATGATCGAAAATGTTTCCACACATTTCCAAATGTTCTCTAGGGAGAAAAATGGCCCCAGTTGAGGATCTCTGATCTATAATACGCCACCTTGTCCAACCTCAAGGCATCGCTTCAGGGTTGACAAAGAGGCAGCTGCTGTAATGAAAAGCTCCACACTGCCAGGGCGCAGTGGCTGACTGCCTGTCATCCCAGCACTTTGGGAGGCCAAGGTGGGTGAATCACGTGAGGTCAGGAGTTTGAGACCAGCCTGACCAACATGGAGAAAACCCATCTCTACTAAAAATACAAAATTAGCTGAGCGTGGTGGCACATGCATGTAATCTCAGCTACTTGGGAGGCTGAGGCAGGAGAATCCCTTGAACCTGGGAGGTGGAGGTTGCGGTGAGCTAATATCATACCATTGCACTCTGGCCTGGGCAATAAGAGCAAAACTCTGTCTCTCTCTCTCTCTCTCTCTCTCTCTCTCTCTCTCTCTCTCTCCCCCCCCTCACATGCACACATACACACACACACACACACACACACACACACACACACACGGCTCCACAAAGTCTCTGCAGCACTCTGTAGATCATCCTCCCCCACCCAGCCCTCCCCGCCTCACCTCGCATCTCCCACCAGCCTTCTGTCCCACTAGGATCTGGACTAGGATCAGTCAGGGGAGGCTCTCGACTCAGGACAAAATGTAAGAGGACACTAAGAAATTCACTATTCAAGATAAATAACATTTTAATGCAATATTTCTTAAAAATTGAAATTAATGCAAAACAAAAAATCAAAATTTGAACTGACCAGGCTCTAGCCAGATTTACTGCAGTTTAAAGAGAGGCCAGCAGGTCCCAAGCCTTGACTTTGCCAGATGTCTCTGCTAAGAGCTAGTGGACTTGTCAGGGTGAGTGACCAAGCTCAGAGGCATCTTTGTGGGATGCCTCTCAGAACTATGCCTGGCACATGAGTGGAGGGTGACCCTTGTCAATTAAAAAGTGCAGATTTGTAGGGCGGGGCACGGTGGCTCACGTCTGTAATCCCAGCACTTTGGGAGGCCTAGGGAGGTGGATCGCCTGAGGTCAGGAGTTTGGGGCCAGCTTGGGCAACATGGTGAAATCTCTACGAAAGTACAAAATACAAATATTAGTTGGGTGTGGTGATGCACACCTGTAATCCTGTCTACTGAGGAGGCTGAGGTGGAAGAATTGCTTGAACCTGGGAGGCTGAGGCTGCAGTGAGCTATCATGCCACTGCACTCCAGCCTGGGTGGCAGAGAGAGACTCTGTCTTAAAAAAAAAAAAAAAGTATAGATTTATTCCCCATGTTCCAGCCCAGCCCTCCACAGCTCAGGGAGCAGGGACAGGCAGCCCAGAGGGTGAGAAGACCTAAATTCCTTCCCTTCTCTCCTCTCCCACAGGACCCACAAATGGAGAAGTAACTGAGAGGTCACTTCTGAGCCTGACGGCAGAGTAACGGCTTGATCACTATCTCCTTAGCCCAACGGACCAAACTCTCAGCTTATCTTCTTGACTGTGGGAGGACTGGCCAGGTCCAGCACCTAAAAACCTGGTTGCTGGACTTCAAGCTTGAGACCTCCCTCGTGGTGGAGGGTGGAGGCATAGACCCTCATTTGCCATTATTCTTCCTCATCCATTGGCCCAGGTCAGTGGCACCATTTCACTCGGTGGTTGGGATGACCAACAAGGTTGAGCGTTGCAGGCTGCAGTGCAGTGGCACGATCTCGGCTCACCACAACCTCCGCCTCCCGAGTTCACGCTGTTCTCCCACCTCAGCCTCCCCAAGCAGCTGGGATCACAGGCACCCGCCATCAGGCCCGGCTGATTTTTGTATTTTTGTAGAGATGGGGTTTCACCATGTTGCCCAGGCTGGTCTTGAACTCCTGACCTCAGCTAATCCACCCGCCTCAGCCTCCCAAAGTGCTGAGATTACAGGCGTGAGCCACCATACCCAGCCTTGTCGTTTCCTTTTACAGTTGGAGAAATGGCATCTCAGAGACTTTAAACAAGTTGCCCAAGGTCACACAGCAAGTAGAGACAGGCCTGAACTGTAGGCTCCCAGACCCTCAATCACCCGATAGCTGTGTTTCCTAGCCTCCTCTCAACAACCTCCCTCCCAAACAAACCATTCCCTCTCTCACATTGACCCTGTTTTCATTGCATATAAACCCTGGGCAAAGATATTGCAATGACCTCACTGATGCTTTCAGTCCGATTTAAAACCAGAAATAACATTTTTGAAGGTCTGCCATGGACCAGACACTATGCTTCATTAAGGTTTTTACATCTGTTGCTTAACAACCACTTAATTCTTACGAGTCATCCTATGAATTGGATGGTCTACATATGTAGTACAGAAGCTCAGAGAAGGCAAATGACTTACCCAAGTTTGCACAAACGATACATCAGATCCTAGTCTGTCTGACTCCCAAATCTTTGCTTTCTTTGATACACCCAGATGTGTTAACCCAAGATGATCTCGCAATGATGCCAACGTTGTTTCAGCATCCATGGAACCCCAAGCCTCTGGCTTAATGTTTGCATTTATGTTCATAGGGTTTTCAAACTCTGCCTCTTGTTAGAAGATTCAGTCTATCCTGTCATTATGCAGAGGGTAGGCCTTGCCATCTTGAGAGGCAGTGTAGGGTGATGTATAATTGTGAGAAGTAAAAGAGTTCCTCTTTAAAGTTTCCTTTCTTGTTAAAGAGTAAGTGTGCTAATAACTCTTTGTTAAGCCCTAGCCTATGTAGCTGTTAGACATGCCATGCTTACAGGCACGTAGTACATTCTGTGTCCTTGTACTTTAACCAAGATATCTGTGCTGGACATGCTCACAGGCATGTATGTCCCAGCTCTCCATTGCTTTTACCTGTTTAGAAAAGTTTTTTTTTTTTTTTAATTCAAAATACTGAGTTTTATTTCACATGTATATTTTTGTCTCCCCACCATTTCCATGTCTGACCACCACTACTGTGTCCTATCATAACATTCCATACATACTTAAAACCAAGCAAAGGGTGGAGTTCCATCTTTAAAAACTACAGGCATTTTGGACAACACATTCTTGGCAATGGTATCTGGACAACATTTATCAAACACGGTAGGGAAAATTCTCACTCTGCATTATAAAAAGGACAGCCAGATAGCAACTGTCACAGAAATGAAATAAGATGGAAAATTTTTAACAAATTGTTTAAACTATTTTCTTAAAGAGACTTCCTCCACTGCCAGAGATCTTGAATAGCCTCCTGGTCAGTGATCCGGAAGCAATTCTTCACATAATTGATGAACTTGGCTTCCACTTTGGGAAGAGAACCACCTCTTTCTATACTTGCTTGCATGTTTGCTTTAATGTCTTCTACAGAACTAGGTCCTTTTGGTGTTTTAGGAGTTTTTTTCCTGTTTTTTGAAGGATTCTTTTCCTTTTGATCTTGGTGTTGATAATGGTTTTGAGTCTTTTCCATTCTGATTTGACTTTTGTGCATTTTTGGCTGGAGTATTGCATATAGATTTCTTCACTGGCACTTTTTCTTCAGTTTCCTCATCATCAAAATCATCATCATCATCATCTTCATCTTCATCATCATCTTCTTCTCATCATCATCTTCAGCAGCAGCAAGTTTTAGTTTTTTCTGTGGAACCTTGCTACCACCTCCAGGGGCAGATCGCTTTCCAGACATACTTAAGAGTTTCCTATCCTCCTCCTCCTCCTCATCTTCTGACTCTGCATCTTCCTCCACAGCTACTAAGTGCTGTCCACTGATATGCACTGGCCCTGAACCACACTTCAATCTTAAGACCACTGGTGTGTCATTTCAAAGCCCCCAAGGGAAACCGTTGTCTGTACCGACATTTTCGAAGTTGCCAATGTTACTTTAATTGGACTGTCTTCGTAATTCATTGCCTCTGCTTCAACAATGTGCAACTCATCCTTTGCACCAGCTCCTAAACTGACCGTTCTTGAAGATAACTGGTGCTCATTTTCATCATTATCCACATTAAAGTGATCATCTTTGTCGGCCTTTAGTTCACAACCGAAAAGATAGTTCTGGGGCCCCAGGGGGCTCATGTCCATGTCCATCGAATCTTCCATCGGGTGGCAACATGCACTTAGGTGGAAGACAGGAGGACGGAGGTAAACGACGACTGCTCAAAAGAACAGCCACTCAGGACGGACTCACACCAGGGCTAGAAAAGTTTTAAGTTGTTAGCCAATTGGGTTTAGTTTAGATGGTGAGGTCTGGCTCCAACCAACAAAGATCTGACACAGCAGTAAGGACGACCCCAAATGCGTAAGGGATAAATATGTCTGTTTTCCTTTGTTCATTGTGTGCTCATGACAAGATGGCTAGCGAGGGTACCCTTCCTGCAGTTCAGGAAGTAAAAATTGCATTGCTGAAAAATCCATCATGTCAGTGCTAATTTTTCTTTGTGGCACCAAGCATCTGTTTCCAACAATAATGAAATCACAAGTTCCAGGGTCAGTCCCTCTGTGCCTCACTGTTCTCATCTATAAACTAAGGATAATAACAAGACTTGCCTCTAGTGAGATCAGCTTAAATAAAGCTCTCAAACTATACCTGGCACGTGGGTGGAGTGAGGGTGGTCTTTGTCTATGAAAAAGCAAAGAGTGTTGTGCTGATTGAGTCCCTATCCTGTGCTTTGCACGTGTGTAAGGAACTCCAGGGGTTCAATGATAAAGAATCATGGATAAACATTTCACAGAGCTTAGTTAGTATCTTACTGGAGAGAAAAATCCGCACACAAACCTATATTTTGGAAAATTAGCCCAGTCTCCTTATTTCATAATTTTTACTTTTTAAGAAAAACTACCTTTTTTTTTTGAAAGACGGAGTTTCACTGTTGTTGCCGAGGCTGGAGTGCAATGGCATGATCTCGGCTCACCACAACCTCTGCCTCCCGGGTTCAAGCGATTCTCCTGCCTCAGCCTCTCAAATAGCCGGGATTACAGGCATGTGCAACCACACCCAGCTGTTTCTTTTTTTGTTAATTTTTAGTAGAGACACGGTTTCTCCACGTTGGTCAGGCTGATCTCGAACTCCCGACCTCGGGTGATCCACCCATCTCATCCTCCCAAAGTGCTGGGATTACAGGCATGAAGCCACCATGCCTGGCCAAGAAAAACTGTTTAATGAATGTACAATGTGCTCCTATAAAGTGCACTATAGTGTGGATTGCTCGGGGACTCTTCACAGTGAATGCACCAATGTAAACATGCCTAGCTCAAAATACAGAATATGACTAGGAGCTCTGCAGCCTCCTTCATGCCCGCTCTTGATATTACTCTCCAAAGATCTCTGCAGACTAGAAGTCAAACTTCTGTCAAAGCACACACCCACAGTGGCAGAGATTTATGAGGAACAAGACAAGTTTACCTACCATTTAGAACAGAACCTGGCACCTAGTAAATGGAAAGTATTATTACTCTTTGTGGTGAGTATTGGAATAAAGGAAGCAATGCCTTCCCACATCAAAATACAAAGTCCAATAGTGCAGGAAGTGAAAGTCCCACCTCAGCTGCATCCTCACGGCACTCACCACAGGGCTGAACCCGTAACCGTCTGAAATCAACGGATTCTCACAGAGCAACAGCTGCAAGGGATCTGAGTTTGAGTTCTGTCTCTTTCCCCTCTTACCATGTGACCTTAGACAGTTAGCATCCCTTCTCTGTGCCGCAATCCAAAAAACCCCGAGTCTTTGTTTTGCCCTTCTCTGAACCCCCAATCCTATATGAAGTTCTATGAATTGGAGGCATTCTGGAGAAAAAATGGCTTCAGACCACTGAATTCTTTTCTTCTGCTGACCTCCCTAGGAGAGAAGGGGTTGCGAATGCCTCCCTCCCTCCCTCTTGATTAAAGCTCCCTCACCTCCAGCTGGGCTGGAGTCCTGTGTCCCAAGATGAAACCAAGATCCGAGACAGTCTGTCCTGTCTCCCTTCTGTGCTTCATCCCCGGGTGATCCTGAGGGGAGAGTAGCCAGCACTTCCAGCTGACAAACCACAAGGGTTAAAGGAACATGCTTTGGAACAGACAGCGTTGAATTTCAACATTAGTTGCATTTAGAGGTTCAGTTTTGGGCAAATCTTTCGACAGGTCCTAACTTCTGTTAACCATGGGTCTGTAAAATAGGGATAATAATTATTGATCACATGAGGTCGTCTAGGCAAGGTGCCTGCCACAGCAGGGGGTATGTTGTGGGTGCTCAATAAGTAATAACAACTGGTAGATGTTTTTATGCCTATGTTACAAACAATCATGTATCCCAAGTGCCAGGGGACTATGTCTTGTATTTTCAGGTCTCATTTAGAATCTGACACGTGGCAAGCTGTCTTATATCAGGTTTCCCCAGAAGGAGGTCCTGAGACAGGGAGTTGCATACAAGTGTTTATTTGGGAGTTGCAGACACTAGGAAGGAGCAGAGACTGCAGATGAGGAAGGGAAGGTGGCCCATAAAATGCGTGGAATAAGGCCAGCTACCACAGCAGGCCTCTGGGAAACCGTGCCCAATACATGTTAGATTTATTCCACTTGAGGGGCCGGGGACTGGGGTACACTCACTCCGAGAGTTGTGGACTGTTCCCGGGGACATGTTAATTTCCTTATATATCAAACCAACCACAGTTCTGGGGTTGGAGAGAGAAAGAGAAAAGACCTTTGGGTAAAGAGGCACGCATTGGGCCATTGGGAGTCCACCTACAACCTTGAAAGGTCCTGGAAACACCTATGCAGGGATCCAGTAATCAGGTGTTCTGTGCAGAGAGCTAGCTGAGCCCATTCCACCATCTCTAAAAGGCTCCATAGACCCAACCCTGCCCGCCATCCTCCTCCTCGAGGAGTGACAGCTTCTGACCCTTCTCCGAAAGGTGTGGTATGGGAAGAGATGGTAAGGAAGAAGGTTCCACGAGGGCTAAGCAGAGTGGATCAGCAATCAGAGACGAAAAGATATTTCAGTAAAAGCCATTTTATTTCAGGGAGGTGGAGGGAGACGGCAAGCAGAGGGGGGGTGGCAGCTGCCCAGGAGAGGACAGCTCTGAACTCCTGCTGGAACCGGCTCAGTAGGAACAGACGAAAGGAAGCCTTCGGCGGCAGGGGGCTCGACGCCAGTGGCCTCCTGTGAAGGCAGAACAGAAAGGGACGTTCAGCCTCTTGTCCACCCCAACTGAACCCACAGGAGGGCCCGTTCTCCCACCCACATACCACCATGGAGTCGGAGTGTGAAAGACCCAGGAAGCCTCTGGTCAAAGGGTCAGGCTCTTCCTAGCATCTCCTCCTTGGGGCACTTACCACCTCCCAGGCCTCCCCATCATTCATCCTCAGCCCCACCTCACCTCGGGTACACAGGGCCACACAGTGACCACCACGGACTGAGGGCTGGCCAGCAGCCCAGAATGCAAAGTTCCAGTGGCTGCCGTCAACCCACTGAAAGCGTCTGCAGCGGCCCTGAAGAAAGCAATAGAGGAAGAGGGGATGGGGCCGAGGGAAGGCGGAGAGGCAGACCTGGCCCCGTATCTGCCAGCTCCTCCTGCTGCCCACCGGGCAATGGGCCCTTCCCTGCTGGACCATCATGGTAACTGTCCTGGTCATCTGAGATGCTGATACATGGCAATCATCACCATCAGATTCTATGCATCCCAGTGACGGGCTCATCCTTTCAGCCCTAACGAAAGGTAGAGCAGGGGTTGCCAACCCATCCTAGAGATGAGGAAACAGACTCATGGTCTTGCCCAAGTTACATAGATAGTGAGAGATGGAAAGGAGCTTGGACCCAAGCCTCTGAATTCTAAATCCTTGGATCTTCCCTGAATACCCAGGGAGCCCCCTCAATGTTGTCTGCGGATGTCCGTCTATCCCTGGTTCTTCTGGAGATTATAGAGGAGAAAAACAGACAAATCTGCCCAAGTTGAGTGCTGGCTGAGATCAGCAGGTGTTCCCTGTTAGGTGCTCACACCTGTCTTACCGAGCCTATGATCCTGCCTCCGATCCAGACTTGACCCTGGTTGAGCCCTCTGACTGAGAGCTGGATTCGGTAATTCAAATTGAAGTTGTGGATGGAAACCAGGTTGCCCCGGTAGCACCTCTGGCAAGTCAACTGCAAGGCAGGATAAGAGACAAAGAATGGGGCAGCCTTCCTACATGAAGTCACATGAGTCTTCAGTCTCCACACTTCACGCCCTCCCCCCACCCTGCCACAACCGTTTGAAGCTTGGAGACCAAAATGCAACTTCTGTTTCTAGGTGGCCCTCCCCTCTCACCCCAACACCTCTGTGAGGCGCAGGTTCTACTGACACCCCCAGGGCCCTCAATGGGGAAAAGAGCCAGTGACAGCAATGCTGGGGACATGTCCCACACGCCTTTCATGCTCCCACCTCAGTCCTCAGCCACAGGCCACTCACCCGAGCTTGATCAAATGTGTGAGGACGTCTCACCAGGAGGTAGCGGCGGCAGGTCTGGCGCCCAGGGACTGCCCACCAGTTGTACTGTGTCCTCTTCCTCAGGACATGGAAGGTTTTTGTCTACCAAATCTGGGACTGAGATAGACTCAACAGCCCCGTCTTCCTTGGAGGCATCTTCACTTCCAGAGCCCCCCTCCTCCTCTGTCTCCAGCTCCTCCACCTCCTGTTCTGGCATCTCCTCATCCTCAGGCAGGGTCTTAGCACCCAAAAGGCTTTCAAAGTTGGAAGTCTCAGACCCTGGAAGGGAAGATGGCCAAGTGTCCTTCCTTCACATCTCCCCTTGTCCCTCCCTGGAACCACAGGACAGCTCCCGCTTTGCCCTGGGCATCAGAGTGCTCAACCCTGCCTGGAAAGAGGAACCTGGAACTGAGTCTCCATGAGAGGAACCTGATGTGCCCAACAAAGTCCAGGTGGTTAAGGGCATGGACTTAGAGTCGGGCACTCATGGGCTTGGGTACTGGTTCCATCATCCATTAGCTTCATTTCTTCATCTGTAAAACGGGTATACAATACCACCTACTTCGTGGGGATGCTGAGAGTTAAAGAAGAGAAGGCATGGAAAGTGCTGTGTACTCAGTAAGCTCAAAGTAAGCATCATGGAGAAAGGACAAAATTGGGAATATCACAGTAGAACCAAGACCACAGACATAACAGATGCCCTGAGGAATCCTTTCAACTCCTGGTCATAGGGTCCCCATCCCTTTAAGTGCACAGAGATTCAGAAATAGATGACGATCAAAGAAGGGGGTGGGTGTGTAACTCTGACCCCATCTACTATAGAAAGGAAAAAAATAAAGAAAGACTAAAGGCAAAAAACACTTACTCAGATGGAGAGCAGAAACTGCCCCAAATAGGAGAGCCAGAAGTAGGGGGAGTTTCATCTTGGCTTTATCCTGCAATGGGGAACACAGTTTATCATTGACACACACACACACACACACACACACACACATCACATCACATCACAATCACACCGTTAGGGGACCGTGAGAGTGAGGTGGAGAAAAAGAAGGTCTGAATAGAAATCAGGATGGGCCAGAAAAGCTCATGCTGAGCCCAGCTCCTGATGCTCCAGAACCCACGATGCAAGGACCTCTTTCTAAACAGAATGCAGCAAACCCTGAGGGGTGGCTGAGGCTGGCTTTCCTTCAGGTCTGGAAATAAAGAAGGGACTATCATGCTTATATGTTTGTACTTAATGAGTCCCTTAGAGTCTATGACATAAAAGAGGAGGGAGAAGCAATGATTATTGGCTTTCCTAGGAACACACAGGACTTAGAAGCTATGTCCCCTCCTCAAAGCTCAAGAAGCCACCCATGCCCTCCTTCATGTCCTCCACCCTCTCCCTTCTCCAGCCAAGGGGCATTTTCACATCTCACAGAAGAAATGTGCAAGGCAGAGGACGAAGGCTGCCCCTGCTGACATCCTCGTAACCTGAAAGCCAGTCACAGACCCCTGCCAGCCCTCCAGAGACTGTCAGCCACAGCCAGGGACCTCCTGGGACAATAAACTGTTACCAGCTCCACCACCGCAGAGAAAGCAACTCACCTAACGAGAGACCGTCCTGGGCCTTTAGATCTTCCCAAAGCCCCGGTCCTTCTTTGCGCCCTCCCCCAAAGACATCTTATATAGAGGCCTTGGAGGAACTCCCCCAGGGAGAGGGGGTTTGCCTCTGCTACAGGGAGACAGGAAGGCTGATAAGGACCATTTCATATTTCATCACTTCCCTGGGGAGCCCACTCATTCAGTGAAGATTTCTCCCCCGAGATCCCTTTCAGGAACCCAGGGGCCATCTAGGACAGCTCTGGGCAATGGTTCTTATCCTGGGCTACACTTCAGAATCTCGTTCAGTGCTTTTCCAAAATACGCATGTCCCCTGCTTGACTGGTGTTTCGAATTGCCACAAACATTTTGAGAACAAATCTGTCCATATCTCTTACAATTTAAAATGCACAGTGGTTCATGCCTGTAATCCCAGCACTTTAGGAGGCTGAGGCAGGCGAATCACCAGGTCAAGAGATCGAGACCATCCTAACCAACATGGTGAAACCCCATCTCTACTACAATACAAAAATTAGCTGGGCGTGGTGGTGCGCATCTGTAATCCCAGCTACTAGGGAGGCTTAGGCGGGGGAGTCGCTTGAAACCGGGAGGTGGAGGTTGCGGTGAGTCAAGATCACACTACTGCACTCCAGCCTGGCAAAAGACTGAGATTCCATCTCTAAGTAAATAAATAAATAAAATGAAAATGCACATTTGATCAACTTCACTCTTTGGAGGCTATGCTTTAGACATAGAAGCATCTATAAGTAAGAAAACTTTTGCAGAGAATGTTATTGCTTGACTATTTGTAGAAATGAGAATAATCTTTATATCCATCAATCAGACACTGAATAAAATGTGTCCTTTCTATTCTACAGAATGTTATATGGCTGTGAAAAGAAGGGCTGGACCTGTATCTATAAACTGAAACAGATGTGTGTGCAACATTATGAAGTGAAAAAAGGCAAAATACTAGGAAAATATTTAATGTGTGAATAGTTTTACAAGGAAAAACCCCTGCATAGGTGCTTATCTATGAGCATGCTTATGTGACCAAGTGGAGCTGGAATGCTAAGAGGAATCACTCTAGATAGTTGACCTTGTCACCTCCAGAAGCAGGGGAGGAGGGAGAAGAAAGTGGGAAGGAGATTGTTGTTTATTTTCTTTTTATAACTTTCATTTCTTCAGCGGTTATGGTAAACATGTGCTGAATCTGTCATTTTGAGGCTGCCTTAGTAAATATTTAAAAACATATACAGATGCCCTGCCTGGAAACTTCTGATTGGCTAATAGATCTAGAGTGAAGGTCAGATGTCTGCATTTTTTAAAAGTTTCCCAGCTGACTGATAAAAGATGGCTCTGGGAGTCACTGTCCTGAAGATCTTCAAGCACAGGAAACATTCACATACATCTAACTGCTTTCCTTCTGAATCAGACCACTCAGTTTGCCAACCTACCAGCCTTCATTACGGTAACATTTACTGAACATTTCTAAATGCCATGCGTGGCAAGTGGCTGGGTGCGATGCCTCACGCCTGTAATCTTAGCACTTTGGGAGGCTGAGGTGGGTGGATCATTTGAGGTCAGGAGTTCAAAACCAGCCTGGCTAACATGGCAAAACCCCTGTCTCTACTGAAAATACAAAAATGAGTCAGGCATTGTGGTGCCTGTCTGTAATCCCAGCTACTTGGGAGGCTGAGGCAGGAGAATCACTTGAACCTGGGAGGCAGAGGTTGCGGTGAGCCAAGACGCACTACTGTGCTCCAGCCTGAGTGATAGACTCTGTTTGAATAAATAAAGTGCCATGCAAGGCAAGTATTACCTCATTTAACCCGTTTTTAAAAACCTAGTGATGTAGGTGGTTGATATCTCATTTTCCAAGTGAGACAGCCCAGGCTCTGTGTGGCTGCTGACCTCCCTGCAACACTGTCCTCATTGGATCAATGCTCTGTATGCACCCTCTTGTAGCTTGTCCTTATTACAGTTAGTCATTTATGAGATTACTTGGTTAATGGATTAACATTTATCTTTCTTCATAATGGCAAAGGCTGCATTTTTTTTTTTTTTTTTTTTTTTTTTTTGAGATGGAGTCTCGCTCTGTCCCCCAGGCTGGAGTACAGTGGCAAAATCTCAGCTCACTGCAACTTCCGCCTCCCAGGTTCAAGCAATTCTCTTGCCTTGGCCTCCCAAGTAGCTGGGACTACAGGTGCACGCCGCCCTGCCCAGCTAATTTTGTATGGTTTTTAGTAGAGACAGGGTTTCACCGTGTTGCCCAGGCTGATTGCAAACTCCTGAGCTTAGGCAATCCGCCCACCTCGGCCTCCCAAAGGGCTGGGATTACAGACGTGAGCCATCGTGCCCGGCCAAGGCTGCATCTCTTTACTCACCATCGTATCCTTGGTGCCTAGTACAGTGCCTGGTACATAGTAGGTCCTCAATAAATACATGTTGAAGTGATTAACTGGTTAAGTAACTTGCTCAGGTCAATAACTAGGTTAGGATTCAAATCCAGTTCTTTCTGGCACCAAACTTCTCTCCCCTTCCATGTGCCTGCTCATGTGTCAAGAATCGTGCTGTCCAGGTGCAGATCAAATCAGAGTGAAGCATAGATCCTCAGTCAAACTGCTTACAACCTAATTTGTAAGATAAATCTAGGTCAAACAAAAGGAGAAGGGTTAAGGCCAAGCTATGAAACACCCTCTGTTAATTCAGAAGGAAGTCCATCCATAGTAAAAGAGGCAGAAAAGACTCCGTGAACCAAGGAGCTGATTCCTACCTGAATGGAAGCTGCAACCAGAAGGGAAGGAAACAGGCATTCCAAGCAGACGGAACAGCTTGAGCAAAGGTGTAGAGGTTGGGCAACCTTGGCATATGCACAGGATGGTGTTATTTCCTTCATAACTAAAGTTCACTGTACACACATTGGGAAGGAATGAGACAAACAAGGAAGAATGCATTTCATCTTGAGCCGAGGATGGAGATAACCCTCCCCTGTCTCCACTGATTTAAAAAGACAGAAGCAGGAATCGAGGAATACTCAACAAGAGGCTAGACAGGAGCTTCGAGCTGGCCTCTGCCCACTCCCATCCCCAGGCCCTACTTGCAGAACCTCTCTGGCTGTTGGACAGAGAATCACCATCAGAGGGTGATAAGAGGGAGCCCACTCTTGGAAGTCAGTTGACTGCTCAGGGACCCTCACCCCTAGGGAAGCCTCTCTTTTAGGTCGCTTAATCCAGGATCTGAAATCCACAGCTTAGGGGCCCTGGAAAATTTCATTTTGTCAACATTTGCTGGAAGAATAGAGCAGGATCTGAGAGAGTGGGTTCTTGGGTCAGACAGTCCAAGTCAGACTCAAAGTGACTGGGTCTAGCACTTAACAGCTGTGAGACGTGTCTCTGGACAAGTTAACCTTTCTGTACCTCAATATCATCATTTATGAAGCAGAGATAACAATACCTACCTCACCAGGTAGTGTGAGGAACGGATGAGATCATTCACACGCAGCATGCGTGCTGTGAGCTGCCCATCCACCTCACCCCTTCCTGTGGTTTCTGGGATTCCACTTCCTATGGCTCTTGGTGGAGGGCAGGCCTCTTATATCTCAAGACAAAAGTGTCTAATGGATTTCCAGCTTCCTTTGCAGCTAAGGCATATGACTAGGCTCTGTCAAAGAGAAGACGCATCCGTTTAAGACTTTGAATCTGGAGCTAGTGACCAAAAAGATGGAGGCGAAGAAGGCCCCTCTCTGGCAGTGGCATTGGAAAGATGGAGTTCCTAGAGCTGCAGTACCCACAGAGGTGCTGCAGGGTACATTGATCCGGGATGCAAGTCCCGCAACATCCAGGGTGCCAGCCATGGGGTCTAGGTCTCAGCGGCAGGGGATCCTCCCTCCCCTGTTTTGCAGCCTGACTTTGACGCCATGTCTGGCTTTTTGGCTCTTCCTGCAGCTTTATGAGCTACTTCTTTTCCTTTCAGTCCTGGATTTTTCAATTCAGATCAGCCAAAGAGAGTTTCTGTTGCCTGCCATTAAGAGCCCTGACCGATGCAACATTTAGCACAGGAACTGGCATTTGATTATTGCTTAGTAAGTGAATGCTACCCAGGGTCTTTGAGTGTGACCAACATTAATCAAACTCTCAAGAGACTGATGTCTACATCTGGTGCCAATGACATAAATTAGGTTGAACGGTACTCACAAGGGGCACACTTGCCCAGGCTCTCTGATAAGCATGTTCTTTCCCTGCATCACAACTATGGTGTGCTCAGGACTTGGATTTTGAACAGGAGCAAAGAGCTGGAGGCCTTGGGGTCCAGTGCCTTTGAACAAGAGAACCAATAC